TCTGCGGTCACGCAACACTAACCTTTCTTCTATTTCAGGTACCCAAAGACTAAACTCAGGCGTGAGGCCAGCAACCCCACCCTGTAAACAAACCTGCTACAGAAACTTCAGCGTGAACAATCTCCTTGCGTCAAAAGAAAAAGTCTGTGTGGGGACATGGAATGTCCGCACCATGTACGAGACTAGCAAAGCTGCCCAGATCGCAAGCGAAATGAGGAGATACGGACTACAAGTATTGGGGATCTGCGAAAGCAGATGGAACGGAAACGGACTCACCAAATTGTCAACAGGTGAGTCAGTGATTTACTCCGGTCACCCAGAAGACAACCACACACACACCGAGGGCGTGGCTATAATGATGTCACCAACGGCAACCAAGGCTCTGATACAATGGGAGGCGATCTCACCCAGAATAATGACCGCCAGATTCAACTCCAAAGGAAGAAAAGTGTCAATTATACAGTGCTATGCACCCACAAACAACGCAGACCTCGAAAAGAAAGAAGAATTCTACAGACAACTACAGGCAGCAATAGACAATACTCCAGCCGGTGACATTAAAATACTAATGGGAGACATGAACGCCAAACTTGGACCAGACAACACAGGAAGGGAACTCATCATGGGTAAAGAAGCTCTGGGAGAGATGAATGAAAATGGAGAACTCTTCGCCGACTTCTGCGCCTTCAATGAACTAGTGATTGGTGGCAGCGTATACAAACACAAGGATATTCACAAGGCTACATGGGTGTCACCAGATGGGCGAACCAAAAACCAAATTGACTTCATCACAATCTCGAGGAAGTGGCGGCGCAGCCTACTGGACACAAAAGCAAGAAGAGGAGCAGACGTTGGCTCAGACCACTACCTCGTACAAGGAACAATCCAACTCAAATTAAAAGCTTTCAGAGAAACAGGAGCTGCAGATAGACCACAAGCCAAGTTCAACACTCAAAAACTAAAGGACCAGGATACAAAGGATATCTTTACTGCAAGTATAAAGGACAAAGCTGAGACACAAATCAACATTAGCGAAGAGGTCAGCGTCGAAAAACACTGGGACAACCTGAAAACAGTATGGAGCGAAACCTGCATGGAAGTTCTGGGCAGAAAGAAGAGACAGGACAAACCGTGGCTCACTACGGACACTTGGAGACTAATAGAAGAGAGAAGGATGGTGAAACAAAAGATTATCCAGTGCACCGACGAGCAACAGAAACAGGAGTTGAATGCAAGCTACAATACACTGAACAAAGGAGTAAAGAAGAGTGCCAGGGAAGACAAAAGAAAGTATTATGAAGCCATGGCCAATGAAGCAGAACAAGCAGCAGGCAAAGGAGACCTCGCAACACTCTACCAAACAACTAGGTACCTCTCAGGCAAAAATTCGTCACAAATTAAGCCAATGAAGGATGAAAATGGAAAGTCAATCACCAAAGAAGTGGAGCAAAGGAAACATTGGGCTGAACACTTCAAAAGACTACTAAACCGACCGCCACCTACAACACGCCCAACAATACCAACAACGGAAGCAGAATTACCAGTGAACATCAACCCCCCGACGAAAACAGATGTCCTGAAGGCAATCAAGATGCTGAAAGCTGGGAAAGCAGCAGGACCAGATGGAATCCCAGCAGAAGCATTGAAAGTGGACCCAGAGACAACAGCAGACTTGATGACGCCACTACTGGAGAAGGTGTGGAAAGAAGGCAAAGTACCCGAGGATTGGAAGAAAGGATACCTATTCAAACTACCAAAGAAAGGAGACCTAAGTCAATGCAAGAACTGGCGCGGAATTATGCTCCTGTCCATTCCAAGCAAAATACTAAGCCGCATCATCCTGGAAAGGATCAAACAAGCCCTGGATGAAAAACTTCGACCAGAACAAGCTGGATTCAGGAGAAACAAGTCATGTATTGATCAAATCGCCACACTACGGATCATCATTGAACAAAGTTTGGAATGGCAGTCACCTCTCTATCTCAACTTCATCGACTTTGAAAAGGCCTTCGACAGAGTCGATCGAGAGGTGATTTGGTAACTACTTCACTACTACGGGGTGCCGCCGACAATTATACATCTCATCCAACAGCTATACGACAATGCTGCATGCCAAGTAATCCACAACGGGAAGCTCACGGAATCCTTCGAAGTGAGGACAGGAGTAAGACAAGGCTGCCTTCTATCGCCAATGATTTTCTTGATTGCAGTAGACTGGATAATGCGACAAACAGTGGGCAATGAGGAAACAGGCATAAAATGGACACACACAAAATACTTGGAGGATCTGGACTTCGTCGATGATATATGTCTGATTTCCCACAAACTGGAAGATATGCAAGTGAAAAGTAACAAGTTGGCAGAAGAAGCATCAAAGATAGGACTCCAGGTGAACATAGAGAAAACGGAGGTGATGAAGATTCCTGGGCAACACCACCAACAGCCACAGCAACAACAACAGACAGCAATCAGCATAAATGGAAGGAACCTGAAAGAAACTACCTCCTTTACCTACCTGGGAAGCATTGTTTCAACTACAGGCGGAACTGACGAGGATATCAAAGCAAGGATCGGGAAAGCAAGACAAGCTTTCATTACTCTCAAGTCTGTGTGGAGGTCAACAACATTCAGCGTCAAAAATAAGATCGGGATTTTCAACTCCAATGTGAAGTCAGTCGCTACTATACGGATCAGAGACTTGGCCAGCGCGTCATAAAGAGCACCTCAAACAAGCTACAGACCTTCATTAACAGTTGTCTTCGCTCAATACTCAAGATCAGATGGCCGGAAAGGATCAGCAACAAAGATCTCTGGGAGCGAACCAACCAGGAACCGATTGTGAAACAAATAGGCAGGAAGAAATGGGGATGGATTGGCCATACTCTGAGGAAACCATCAAGTGACATCACTAGACAAGCCATCGCTCGAGTGGAACCCGAGAGGGATGCGACGAGTTGGTCGTCCAAGGGTGACCTGGAGCAGATCATGTGAAGAGGAGATGAAAGCATGTGGGCAGACTTGGAGCCAGGTGAAAACTCTAGCAGAGGACCGAACGCAATGGAGACGCATGGCTGAAGCCCTATGTTCCTCTAGGAACTAAAGGAAATAATAATAATAATAGTAATATAATAATAATTCCTGCTTTATTGAGAATCCTACGTAGGGTCTCAGATGTCCCCTCTTTATATGGTATAACAGTAGATGACTTATATTCTCTCTTATTTATGTTATCATTACTAGTTTCACAATTACTTTTATTTTGCTTTTGGCCTTTTTCGATCTTCCTAATGAATTTTACAGGATAGTTATTTAACACCAACGCCTCTTCTATCTGTTTTATTTCATCATTTAGGTCTTTTCTTGTGCTACTTAGTGCTACTCCTTGGTTTGTTAGACACTTAACTAAGCCTGCCTTAACAGTTAACGGATGAGTTGTTGTTCCACCTGTTTTAAGAAATTAAGGCTTTATTCACTTCTATAATCTGGCAACGCCTATCCTTAGTGTATAACTAGTAAGTCCTTCACTTATATTATCAAAATGAGTTTTACTTCACATTCAAGCATTCTACCCACTACACCCATGACGTAAAGTATAATTGGAAAAATTCATATATTTTTTTCAACACGTATCAATAAGCTAATAGACTGTATCATATTTATTTTTAGTACTTTACTGATATACCTCAGTTTTTATCTATGCAATGAGTTCAATTCTTTCTCATTATAACTTGACATGTACTTCTTTTATTTGCAGAAAACAAATTAAGAAAAATTCGACATGTTGTCAAGAAAAGCATGATGCATAGATAAATTTAGTTTTAGCTCTCCAGTCGAATACCTCACATAGTTATTTACGTCATATGGTAATGAAGGAGGATTTAAATTTCAGAATAAGTTAGTGAATAAGGTGTAGTAGCATTTTTGCTAAATGTTGGGAGTAGTTTACTTGTCAATTACCAAATGAATTAAATAGGACGTACATATGGATTAGAATATAGCTACATTATTGTTAGATTAACATTCAGTAATTTAATAAAACGTTTGACATTAATAAAGACCTAGACAACTAAGAATTTGTTAATTTGAAACTTTGTAATAAATAGAGAAATTCGAAAATTAATATAAAGCCAAGTAACAGAAATCGCACGCAGGTTAGATAACCACATCAAACTGTATATATATAGGTATTACCGTGGCATATTTGTGCATCAGTGGCACAGAAGTAGAATGCTAGCCAACCACGCAGATGGTTCGAGGTTCGATCCCCGGCCGACTCACACTTTTACCTTGCTAAGCCAGTAATAAGACTGGTAAAGAGGGAAGACTGGACATGAGGCTGGTAACCCCATTCCGTAAGAATATGTACCACTGCTACCGAACTTCGAACCTCTAGCTTGAAGCCCTATGTTCCACGGGGAATATAAGGGAATAAAATAATAAAAAGTAATCCCCGTGGCATCTTAAGTATAACCAGTTTTTCTTTTTGTACCCAAAAACTTGACTTGTAGTATCAAATTTCCTGGGCCATCATAATTTTAGATATTTATTTATTTCGACACTGTACTGGCAGTCTGATAAATACATTGTTATCAATTTTCTTCATGTGTTCTCTTCTATGTATTTTAAACCCTTTAGAGAATTCCTTACTCTATGAGTAAATGATTACTTCTTGCACCACGTATGCATTTATTTCATCTAAAAACATTTAAGCTAATATATGCATTTGAAAGCGTCTAATATTTCATATCTTTTTTACAGTCACTGCTCTTTATATATAACTAGTATGACTGATAATAAAACTACAAAGATTTCATTTTGTAAATCCACTATGGTTATATTTTTTTTATCGTCTGAGGGAACCATTCATCTTACAACAAACGCTAGTATTTAGGATACATAAATGACATCTTTTCAAAGTTGATTATTTATATTACTTTATTTGGAATTATTTTCGATTGATGTGCAAGCTTTTAATTTTTCTCTTCTTTTTCTTTGAATAGACGTTGTACCGTCTGAATCTTCAAATGGCACTAGTCATCGTAGTGTTTCATTAACTGCGAATCGATTACCTCAACAATTCAGCCAGCCTCCACCAGCAACAAAAAGTCCCGTAGCCCTAGAAGTTCGTATATTACCATCATTTTGTTGGAATGCTGATCACGTGCTCTATTGGTTACGTGAATATGTTTGTTTGCCAGGTGGATGTTTAGAAGCTGCTAGTCGACTTCGAATGGATGGAAAACAGCTGACAAGTGTAATTGACAAGAAAGTTGAAAAGTTACTGAATTTAAAGTAAGTTGTTCTATTTTGCGGAAATCTAACGAAAATAATGTTTCAGTAAATGCTTTAAATGTAGTGGAATTAGATAATTCATGAAATAGTGCCTAAATTTTCAATTCAGGTGCAAAAATTAACAACTACTAGTCCTGCTTGACAATTTTCGCCACTCTTGATATATCCTAGATATTTTCTTAAAAAATGCGTTGAAAATGTAAAATGAAAACTTAAATTCTTATTCGATAGCATTAAAAATGAGATATGCTACTCTGTTTACAATGAATATAGTTGTAAGAATGATAAACTTGCTAAGTTTATTGTTTGAAACTATTAGTATTCTTATGTTTTCGATCTTTGCCACACCCTTCTTCCCTGCTATCGAATGAAAGTGTTGATAAAGTTCCATATTGTATGAACAACTATAAATTCATACAGCTTTCAAACTACTTTTAAAACTTTGTGTAATGTAGATAAAAATATCTTCAGGCAAAAAAGATAATAAATAAACAGTGTCACCCTGTTTCAGAATTTTTCTCGATTACTTTCGAGATCGAAAACGTAACCGTATCAGGCTTTCCTCAAAATATTCACTATTCAGTTTTTATTTTCTATCTATCAGTTGATTGGAATTCTTCAACGTAATCTTAAGTTATGCTTTCAGTTGTGCTTTTTTCCATAGTATTTCTCACCTCATTAACATAAATCCAATATCAAACTGAATGGACAATTTAGATTTACCAAATGAGAAAATATTGATAAAGCGTTTCTCTGAATGAGCTGTAACGTACATAGATAGTGAGATGTACTACAATATTAGACTACATTTTGCTTTACATCTAATGAATTTCGTCAGTTTTACTAGCCTACACTAAGTCCAGATAAGGAAGAAGATTGATCAGAGTCATCTCAGCGATAAGCGGCACAGATGAAGATGCCAAAGCTATGATGCCATCCCGATACAGAAATAGGCATTGATTACTCTAAAATCACTGTAGAAATTCACAGCAATTAACATAATTATTATGATCCCAGTTTTTTTCACAAAATTTGTGCGTGCGTCACCAAAAGTATTACCAACAAGCTAATTTAGACTTCCATCAAAAGCTGCACTTAATAATGCATGTAAGATGGCCGACCGGGAAAGATAGGCAACAAGGAACTCAGTTAGCAAACAAGGCAAGCAACTATCACTCAATAAATATACAGAAATTAATAGAGATGGACTAGTGCGTCGGTGGCATAGCGGTTAGAACGTTCGCCGACCATGCACATGGTCTGTGGTTCGAGCCCGTGCCAACGCACTTTTTAACCTCGCTAAGCCAGAAATAAAAGCTAGTAAAGAGGAAAGGTTGGGCATGAGGCAAGCAACCCCATCCTGTAAAATAAACGCTGCTACAGAAACTTCAAGCCTCTAGATTGAAGCCCTATGTTCCACTGGGAACGTGAAGGAATAAAAAAAATAGAGATGGACTAGATATGTGCTGAGGAGACCCCTAATTATTATTACACACCGGTCCCTAGTGTGAAATCCGAATGAGGAGCGACAGAGTGTTACATGGAGGGTATCTTGTGATGAGTAGATGAAAGCCTATGGGCAGTCATGGCACTAGATGAAAATATTGGCAGAGAATGGAATCCAACGAAGATGTTCCGCTAAAGCCTACTTAAGACGCGTGGAATGAATATTTATTTTACTATAATAACTGAGAAGACAGGATAAGATTCAATAGAAGTACTTATACGGTGGCTTACAGTGTAAAGTTGTATTCAATTAGAATAAAGTTTAAAGTCGCTGGAGACAAAACACACTACTAGTTACGGATTCTCTGGCTCTTTGTCTGAATTATTTATGAAGGGCATAGCCACTTAACTGGTATAACCAGTGTTCTGGTAATCAATGGCTGCAAACTCAAGTACTGATATGGTCTTGCCTTTTCTAACAAAATGGAAACTGGTTCAGATTTAGTAAATGATTACCTACAAACTATAGCTTTCTAAACCAAGCTAAGATTTAATGGATGGAAAAAAATTAGGTGTATAGTATCAGTTATTATAAAAAATTCTCATATTTTCCAATGAATGGTAACAAAACGATATTGGTTTTACTGTTGTTTCACTATTTCATTCTAATAGCTGTACAGCCTACAAATTGTTCATTCTGATGTAGTAAAAAATAATGTGGAACATGTAGCCTAACCTGACAATCGATTTTTTGATCAGTGTAATCAAAAAATGAGTGAACACACGGAAAAACAGACACGGATATTCAGTCTTTGCATGTCTTAATCTCATTATAGCCTACGATTTCTAACCTTCAAATCAAAGAGTATAATTTGGAAATGACTGGTAGTATTCAGTAAGCAGCCTGCATTCGTTAGGAAGATAAAATTGTATTAACCATTAAGATTACAAACAGGACAGAAACCCTTTGATAAAAGTGATATGATCGGATTAATTTAATTGCCTTGAAATATCAACTTAGTGGAGATAGTTTGTCATTTGCTAGAAAGTTTCTTATGGGTTAAAATCATTCAGTGCACAAGTGTTTACAGAGTTAGGCATTTTCTTCTATCATGGATCACCTATTCATAAAGCACTTAACTTCCTTTCCTATGATTCGATGTCTTTTATGTATTTATTCTACAGTAGATTACCCGAAATCATCAACATTTTAATGAATCTACTAACCATCGTTAGACATTACAAAGAGTTTATCCTTCTCTGAGATTTCAAGATTTCAGTTAGAGAACCATTGAAGGCCAAGGCGTACTGGACATCTGTTCCGTCCTCATTCAAGACTCTTCAGAAGTAAAAACCTATGGTCCTACTGTTAGAGGTCAAACCTAGAACCTTAAGGCTACAGGGTGAGCACCTAAAACCATTCAGACACTGGGACGGAATCCAGTGTCTAATCAACACTAACTTCCACTAGTTCATAATACAAACCACGATAGCCAGCCAATTTGTCCGCACACGCGACTTGATAGGCCCTACTGGTTACTACTTCCCATTAGAATTTCAGACAACTTTGTCCTTTAGTCAGTCACTAGTGAGCACTTGACTCATTTTCAAATGGTGGTTTGCCGGGGTTTGATTGATTTTTGCAAGTCAACTTAATAATCGTCTTCTCACCACCTATATTTTTACCCATTCGTAAACTGAACTCTCCTAAATTTCCCCTCCCATAGAATAATTGCTTAGAATTAAAATCATAAAAGAGAGTTTAGGATATAATTTTTATTCCTTTGAAGCCGATTAAAGATAGCATCTTTCCAGTTTATTATTAAGGTATTATTTTGACTTTTTGCATTTTTTGCATAATGTCATGAAATGTCACTCAGCTGAAAGTTTTGTATCCTATCAAATGAAATTGTTATGTGTTGTTTGGGACTTCAATGAGTATCGTGAACAGTAAACAGAGCAACTTTACTGGTCATCTGGATGAATAATCTTTAAAAGCTCTGTTATGTATTATTATTATGAAATCTGCAACAGAAGGAATACTTATTACATTTTCAAGAATTGACTTGCTGTTCAAGTTTAACGATGAATTGATATCAGTTAGGGAACTATTGAAAACCAGGGAGTACTGGACAGCTGGTTCGTCCCAGTTCGGGACTCATCGGCATTACACACCCCACTGGGTTCCAAACTCAGGACCTTCCCGTTACAAGGCCAGCTCGTAGACAGTTCAGCCACTGGGACCTGACTCAATGGCCCATGAATTCTAACTTCTACGAAATCGTGATTTAAGCGCAACTGGCACCAGTCAATGTGATTGGCTGATTGTTTTCACTTCCAACAAGATAACATTTTGTTGTTTGTGTTGACTAAGATGACACTAAATAAAATTTTCCATCCATGAAATACTAGACTATACAACAGTTTTGTGCTTATTAGGCAAGTTTATCTCAGCAAACAGCAGTCTTTGGTTCTGCTCGTCTGAATCCACAAATGTGCATAGAATAATCTAATTTCACTGTACATAACCACTTGTATTGTCTACAAAGAAATATTACCTCTTTTTGCGTTTGTTTACTGAATGGGGATTTTTGTCATACTGTTGTATATGAGTCATGCAGGATTCAAAACAGAAAAAAAACTAAATAAAATTCCTTAATTAATTATGTTTACTAATTTAAATACAGTTCACTGCTTTATGTTTATGATTAAATCTTATTTATATCACTTTACGAAGACATAGTTAAGCATGTGGCGTGTTTTTTCTTCAAAAAATGACGAAATTAGGCATCGGATTGTTTATCTTCTTTCTATTGATTAATTTGACTCCAGTGTATATATAGTGTTAACAATATTTGACGAAATTTCATGCTTTATTAGACAATGACCTCCTTATTTGTATATATATATGTGTATAGATGATCAAACTAATTTAGACAAATGAATGATTCTTCTCTCTCTCAAATTGTATGCTTAGTATCAAATAGATTTCTGTTGATTTTACGCTTCACAGTTATTTCAGTTTTCACTCACTTGGTTAAATTTTTGACAAGTTTGTGAATAACACGAAAGCCCTCTTCTGTGTGTACGTGTATACGTGTGTGTCTGTATGTTCAGTCGGCAGAAACTGTCAGCATATATCTTTGATTGTTATGCTGACTGAGACAGTTTTCAGATAACAGACATTGATTATCCAGGAAAATAAGATTGTTGGTAAATTTAGTCAAGAAATCATCTTTCATCAGTGTGATAGCCCTTTATTAGCTTTTAATTGGTAAAAAATTCTTCAAAGTTAGTAGATAAATAAACTGAAATAAATGAGTAACTGTTCTGCTTTAATGTAAGTTTCATCACTCAGCTGTATCAGTTGGATTACCATTGAAATTCAGGAGGCAGTTGACAGCTACTTTCTCCTAGTATGGGACTCTTCATAAGTAAGCATTCATAGTCTTACCACAGACTGTAAGAACGTAGAATCTGTTGGTCACTTGGTTCCATCGTAGTGTGAGAATGGCCAAAATGTTCACCTTGTAATCTGGAAGGTGAGTACAGAT